ACGCACGTAACATTTGTCGACATTTTTCTTCAGAGATGTGAGAAATAATTAAATTATATAGTTACCGGCCATCACTGACGGGTTAAACGCCAACAAACGAACATTTAAGTCACAATCTCTCTGAACGTAAAACTTAGCGGAAACGATCTCTTTGGAAACAGAAACGACTCTTCGAAGAAAATTCCTTTAAAAACTCGCAATCGATATTTGACCAGTTATAAAATAAATTTCATTCATGATATTGTTTTCAAATTTCGTATTTATTCTTCGATAAAGATATCGATAAATTCAATTATATTCATTTTTTTTTAAGTAAAATTCATCCTGTTAAAGTCGTTCATGAAAGATTGAACTTAGCGTGTATTTTTCGAGTAAAAATGTAGTTCTGATTTATTTTGTACATTCAACGCACAAATCAGCTTATATTCTTGAACATTTAAACCTAACAATACGAGTAAGTCGATAAATTCAATTATATTCATTTTTTAAAAGTGAAATTCATCCTGTTAAAGTCGTTCATGAAAGATTGAACTTAGCGTGTATTTTTCGAGTAAAAATGTAGTTCTGATTTATTTTGTACATTCAACGCACAAATCAGCTTATATTCTTGAACATTTAAACCTAACAACACGAGTAAGTCGAATGATTATACCCGCATCCTCGACTACCATCTTTCATGTCCAGGTTTCCTACGCGGAAGCGGCTGAAAGAGAATAGTGTGGTGACATTAGGATACCACAGGAAACAATCATGGATGTGGGATGATGGGCCAGTCGGCTCTCTTTTGCTCACGCGCACCCAGTACTTGCGCGAGAAATCGATATCGCGTCTGCGCATCGATACAACTCCAAGGACGTCTACAGGTTGACGTCGAGAGGAAACAATAGTCTGCCCTTAAACCTTTAAATTCTCTAAATCTTAAGGCAATTTTCAGAAATACAGGAAATCTTATACTCTTTCTACATCTTGTACGCAACTGTGACTCAACTACTAAAAATGTACTTGATGAAAGTATTAAAAAATTTAGAAATCCACCTCCTCTGTCGATACCCTCATGTCATAACAGACTATTTTAGACATCCCTAGAGACATCCTTAGGGGAATCGTACCTTTCTCTTTATATCGTCATTGTCAAGTGGTAAGAAAACGATTGAGGCGACGTTTCATTGCCACTTAATAAAAGAGATAGAGAATTAGGTATTTCTCCAAGCAAAATTGCAATATTAAGTTGACAGTTTTTTTTCTAAGCATTATCTAACGATACGAACGATTAAACTTACTTATCAATGTGAGATCATGAAATTATTAACATGGAGACAAGAAAGTTGAAATTTGCAAACAACAATATCTCACGTATAAATATAATAAGTTAACAGAAAGAATATTATTTAATCTAAAAAAAATGTACATACGAGTATAGTTGGAAGAAATTTTCCTGCACACTTGCTATGTATCTATTTTTTATTTCTAACCAATATCTAACCATCTTGACCTATACTCTACAACAAAAATATGAATAATATTAAGAATCTTTATTTTAAAAATATAAATCTTTGAATTTTCTATAAAAATACATGAGAAGCTGTTTATTTTCAATTTATACACTACTCAACAAAAAATAAGGAACACTTTCGAACACGCTTAAAATCGTACAATTTTCAGATCACTCGGTGAAAAAAAAAATCATCGCAGACAAAAAAAAACAAAAAAGCATTTAAAAGCTTGACATCTCTACTTTTCAAATCGGTAATTGATATTTCGATCTGACTGATTTTTTTGAAAGCTATACGGATAGCTGTCAAATCTGTCAAATGGATATCTGTGTCAGATCTAAAAATTTTGTACGAAATTTACGTTGGCATGAATTAAAAATCGCATACAAATGCGGTTTACAGCAATCAAAAGACTAAAACTTTACCTATAATTTGCTTTTTATTGAACATTCTACAATTTTTTTTCACCGAGTTATCCAACATTAAAGCAAAAGTGATCGTTTTTGCTTCAACGTTCAATAACTCGGTGAAGCCAATGATTCGAAAGCATGTTCGCCAGAAAAAGCCTGCTTTTCCACCATGATTCCTCAAGATGTTGCCTAGATAACATTCTGAAAGTCCATCAAACTGCAACCGGGTCAACCTATACACCGAGTAATTCGAATAACCTGAATGACTATGTCATTGTAGAGCGAAAACGTCTTATAATATAACATGGTTGCGTTTTCAATAAAGTAGTTTTTCCCCGAAAATTATGCTGAATAAAAATCATATCGTCGAAATAATCTCATTTGTGAGTAATAAGAAGAGTTCAAGGAGTATTCACGGATAAGATTATTTCGACGATACGATTTTTATTCAACAGATGGTATGTCCAGAGATAATTTCTGAGGATTCCGGATGAGTCACAAAAAAAAAAAATAAATTCAACGGAATGATTTAATCAAATGCCGCATAATCTCTTATTAGTCGATTTATATCTAGTTGAAATAATTTGATTGTTTGCCGCATTATTCCTAAGTTAAGGGGAGATGAAAAAAGAAGAGAAAGAAGTTCAATCACATATATCAGAAAATGCACGGCAAACAATTACGCAATGCGCTGACGTAATGTAGAGACGCAAATTTGCGCACAAATTATAACGATCCTTGAGATTCATTATGAGATTTACGTGTAACTAAAACGCAGATACCGGAGCGATTTATGTTATGATCGACAGGCGTGCAGGACTATCGCAAAATAAAAAGACTATTGTTGGCCAAAATAAATATTAATTGTGCCGAGCACAAAATATTTGTGTAGGGAAAACTATTTAGGATTACGTAAGATAAACGTAACATCGCAACATCTTGGCATCTAAATGTGATGTTAACTTCACTTTCTTTCTCTTTCTCTTCTTCTTCTTCTCTCTCTCTCTCTCTCTCTCTCTCTCTCTCTCTCTCTCTCTCTGTCTTTCTCTCTCTCTTCTTATTTTATATTCATAAAATTGTATATATCGCTTATGCGCCTATTCTGTTATTTTTCCGCATTATTTTCAAACGTATTGTTCACAGAACATCTTATTGTACGCGGCTATTATTGCATTTAGTTCGTCGAGTGACTCTCCGCAGCACTTCACTTCTCGTCGGCAGAACAACGCGTTCGTGGCGAACAGACTGAGCTTGAAATCGATAATTTAAGTGGATGTTAAGAAAGAATTAAGAAGCCGCGTAGGTTTGTATCAATTTCAAAATAGATTCCGTGTCGCGGTCATATGCACAATGCGCGTAAGATGTAGTACAGACAGAAAAATAATAGATAGATTCCGTTGGTCTTGTCAGCCTTTCATAAAAGCTTTTCAAACAGAGTATCCTTTATAACCGAGAACGAGTGATTTTATGATATAGTACGTTCTTCGTCTGCGTATTATTTACTTGTGTAAAGAGCATCATATTATCTTATTATTATAATAGAAAAAGTCTGATTGTATAGTATTAATTAGAATTTTGCTTGAAATGAACAAATCAGAATTTTCTAGTTGAATCTGTATAATATAATTCTAATTGAGAATTCCGATTGATATAATTTTGACAGAATTTTTTATATTCGTTAATTTTCAATCAACTGTAGAAATTTTTCTCTGTACACCGAGTACATTAATAGCTCATGTGATTAGAAAAATACCATGTTACAAATAATCCACGGTATCACAAAATTTCACTTCATTGAAATTATTATATTTGAAATCGATAAGCAATTTAAAATTTAATTATTCAACTTTCTAAGTAAGCAGAAATGCGATGAGAATCAATATAAGCAGAACTATTAATTAGTCAAAAATAATT